CCATTGCGAAAATATTACTAATGTCATTGGTCACCAATAAACGGGCATTTCCTTCATTAGATGCTTATATGCATTAATACCTTTCCATCATGGCTTTTTAAATGACCACCCTCTTAGCAGAACTTTTTGACCACTAAGTGCCTGATGGCTACATTAACCCCTGTTTAATTTTAATCTGCCATCTGGTAGAACAAGATGTGGTTCAAAGAAAATTTTGCATTATTTTTTTTTCTATAGCAAATGCCTATCAATCAATCAATTAATCAGCAAACATTTTTTACTGCCTGATACATGCCAGTCGCTGTTCTAGGTGCTAGAGATACAAAGTCAATGGAAGTCTCTCCTCTTGAGGACCTTACATTCTATCAGGGGACACATGCACATATATGAGATTATACAAAAGATGTACCAAATCAATTCCAGATTGTTTAGTAGGAGAGGCACTAGCAGCTGGGGGGTCAAGAAAGGTTCTGTGTAAGCAATGGAGTTCTTGAGCTGAGTTTTGAAGTAAGCGAGGGATTCTAAGTGTTGGAGGTGAGGAGGTAGTACGTTCCAGACATAGGGACAACCAGTGCAAAGGCATGGATGTGGAAAATGCAGTGCTATGTGTGATGAACAGCAAGAAAGCCAGGCTGGCTGGCCTGCTGGGGGAAGGAAGGAGAGAAGGGTAAAACAAGGCTGGAGAGGTAGGTCAGGATCAGGTTACAGAGGGCTTTAAAAGCCACACAGTGGACTTTATAAATTTGATTCTAAAGGCAATAGGGAGCCATTGGAGTTTGAGTAGAAGAACATGGTGAACTGCTTTGTGGTGGTAGAGATCAAAGAGAAAAGGAGGAAGTCCCTTTTCCCCCTTCTTATGTTGAGTGAACCTCCCTCTGGAGGGAGGGCAGGAACAGGAGAGGCAAGGATGGCTGAGTTGTGAAGGAAAGGACTACACTGGTAGAATCCTAGATGCAGCCCAATATTTGAGAGATAAAAAGAAACTGGCAGAAAATCTCCAGTTGAGAAAATGTGATTTGAGATGATTTTCAAAAGGAGGGCTGATGAGGCAAAATGAGAACATATGAAAAGAGACTAGAGGGGATTTAAAAAAACACCCATACAAAAATAATTAAGAGGGGCAGCTAGGTGGCACAGTGGATAGAGCACCAGCCCTGAAGTCAGGAGGACCTGAGTTCAAATCCGACCTCAAACCAAACACTTGACACTTACTAGCTGTGTGACCCTGGGCAAATCACTTAACCCCAATTGCCAAAAAAAAAAAATTAAGATCTTTTGGAAGGTTCTGCTGTCATGAGTTTAGTCTATTCTTGGTGGCCATCAAGGATGCAGGATGCAGTTCAAAAACAGTACTTCTCATATTGTAACCTTTTAAGGTTTTTTTGTTTTTGGGTTTTTTTGTGTTTTGTAGCCATACCTGCCTCAGTAGTCTCATGGTTGCAGTCCAGAACATACTGCAGTTAGAAAAAGACATTGAAAGAGACATTTATTTTCCCCTACCCAACTCTCATTCTTTCTTTCCTCCTTCCTCCATCTCTCCTCTAACTCCATTTTTTTTTTTTGGTGAGGCAACTGGGGTTAAGTGATTTGCCCAGGGTCACACAGCTAGTAAGTGTCAAGTGTTTCGTCTGAGGTCGGATTTGAACTCAGGTCCTCCTGAATCCAGAGCCGGTGCTCTATCCACTGCACCACCTAGCTGCCCCTCCATCTCTATTTCTTCCACCTTCTTCTATCTCTCTGCCTCTCCTCTCCTTTCCCTCCTCTTCCTCTCCTCCTTTCTCTCCACCTCTCCCTTCCTGCACCTCTCTTTTCTCTTCCTCTCTTTCTCTCCCCCTCTTCCTTTTTTCTTTTCTTCTTCCCCCCTTTTTCTCTCTCTCCCTCTTTCATCAAAAGAAAGAGGTTTATTTCCCCTTCCTGACTCCTTTTTCTCCCTTCCTCCCTCCTTCATTCTCTTTCCCCTTTCTCCATCTCTCCTCCTCCATCTCCATTTCTTCTACTTCCTTCCCTCTCTCTGCCTCTCCTCTCCTTTCTCATCTCCTTTACCTTCACCTCTTCCTTTCTCCCCTCAACCCTTCTACTTTCTGTGCCTCACTTTCTCTTCCCCCTCTTCCTTTTTCTTTTCCTCTTTCTCCTCCCTTTTCTCTCTCCCTCTTCCCCCTACCCCGTTACAAATATTTCATAAGCAAATTTCCCACCTTCACATCACTGATGTTTTAGTGGGAACACTTTTAAAGCTATTAAAACTTCATCATTATACCAGTTTCATGATACTACATTTAACACTAGGAGGAAAATTCTGGTGGCCAAGGCACATTTCCATTAGTATAATAAATTTATAATACAAACATCCCAAATTGAGTATGTTTCTAGAGACCTGATCGTAATACACGATGGACTGTTTTAAGGGTATGTATTGCCTTACTTGAAGCCTAGTGAATTAAATTTGATCTAAGCCAGAATGCTGTTTTAGTCATTTACCTACCTGAAGGCTGAGCTAATTGAGGAGTTTAAGGTACTTTAAATCTCTGATTTTTTTAACCTTTGTGACCTTGGGCAAGTCATTTTACCTCCTTGGGCCTTAGTTTCCTTATCTATAAAATGAGAGAGTTGGCTTTGATGGCATCCGAGGTCTCTTTCAGCTTTAGATCCATGATTACTGAGAATTAGTCCCCTCTAGCTTATTTCAAACCACAAATTTAAAACTAAACTTCATCTCATTCAACCTCCTTAATTTACAGATGAGAAAATTGGGGCCCAGAGAGGTTATGTAACTTGTCAAGGTTAACACAGGTAGTAAATGGCATTCCTAGCATTCACACTCAGGTCTCTAACTCTAAATTGAATGTTTTATTGTCCCGTGCTTGCCTGGAGTTGTCCTTCAGCCCAATAATGTAAACGGCAAGGCTCATATGTAAAAACTGATCGATTTGTAAACAAACCTTTAATAAGACACCATCACATGCATAAATGAGCTCAATTTAAGCTGTAAAAAAAAAGTAAGTAGTTTTAAAGGCATTTTTGTTAAATTAAAAAACAATGAACACAAAGATAGTTATTTTTTTTAAATTTGAATGGACAGTGAGCTTTAAAAGTGAAATTAATTTAGTCAATTTTTCATTCAAATAAAACACCCAAAATTTTAAAAAATTTCAACGCACGAAAAGAAACTTTTAAATTACCTTGATTTTTTTTAAAGCCCTAGATCCAGTTCATGTCTGATTTTCACCAAATTTCTAATTTGTAGAAGATAGGCTAATATGTCCATGGACTAATATCTATGCATGGGGTAGAAAGGATATATGCAGTGAATATAAAACGAGAGCAATTTTCATGTATAAGTTTTATGAAAATCAACCATCACACATATGTGGCATGTTGGTAAGTATGTATGTTGTATGTAAGTTGAGTATAATTATTCATGATGTATGCGTACACCGGTGGTATACATCTCATGGGTTGTCTTTTCTACCCTCACTGATGGCAGATCCCCACTCTTGCTCATCAACTTAACCCTCAAGGGAGTCGAGAGCTTTTTTTCTCCCATAGGGATGGACAATTGAAATCGATCACCCTGTTGCCTGTCAGGACTTCTTCGAGTGGCTCTTGTTGTTTGGTGAGAAGTATTTCCTGTGCACCAGAGTGAATATGACACAAGCCAGTTGGAGAGTGAATGTGGAAGTTCCAGAAAGTAAATTCATCTCAACAATGGATATCACAGTCCTCAAAAAATCCTGAAAAATAACTGATAAAGAAAAAAGAAGAGTAGTAAAACATCGTCAATAGTTTAAACATCTAAGCGGAAAACATCATTAAGTGTTTAAATCAAGTTTTAAAGATGTGACATTGTGACTTGAAGCTCTTACAACATCATTAGACATGCCAAATGGAATTTAAGAAGAATTGACTGTATATATCTTTTTTTTTTAATAAATAGAAGGGCAGTGGAGATGATGGTTATTAGAACTATCTGATTTTCTGTTTACTAGATACTAGATAGAAGAGTTATTCCTTGTTAGTGTTACATTATGCTTTGCTTTAGCACGTCTTGGAGGAAATTAGCAATTGAAAATAGTGACAGAGAGAATGAACCAATAGTGAACATTAGGGTGTTCTCTAGGCTTATTCTTAACTTGTCTATGAAGGAACAAGATTGTGGGGGAAGGGGACAATACTAACCATCTCTTAGAGATGTTTATCCTTTCCAGTTTACAAAATACTTCCACATGCATCGATCAATAGGTCAAACTGGACTCCCTGGGAGGAAAATGTCATTGCAGTGTCTTTTCTCAGAATAGATACTAATAATTCTGTGGCACTTTTCACAACTCTAGGTACTGCTATAATATCCTTGGACAAAATTCAGAAATTGCCTTAGGGTATTTATACTTAAATGACTTATTTCTGATGAGATCATGTCTTCCTGTCATCAATAGCTAGACAGTTTAAGAAAAATAGCAACGCTCAAGTGAAATACTTAGATCACTAATATAGGACTGGTACATTAATAGCCAAAACATATGGCTGAAATGATTGAACACTGTTGATCATTAGCCATACGTATCTCCTATGCTTTTTCTTCTTTATACTAAAATATGCCTCTTGCACAAAGATCCTGAAATATGTATGCAGAATCTTAAGAATGTCTGGTTTTGTATACATTTCCATAGGAATTTATAATAAAAAGGCTCTCCTGAACCTCTATTGCCATCTTTAACCCTGACGTAAAAACCCAACATCAGATGGAGAACAAATTTAATCTTTTAACATTTCTCATTGTTAAATGTGAGAATGTACATAAAGCCTTTAGTACCCAATAGTTAGTCATCACTGTCATAATGTTTCTACAGACCAGTGGCATTGCATTAATACGAGTTGAAACAATCTTCAATTCACTTGGATTCAGAACTATTTCCTTTCTTCAACTTTATGTTTTCCGCATTCAGTTAGCCTGTGAACTTAATGATGTTTTACTACTCTTATCTTCTTTCTCTCTTTGTCAGTTATTTTTCGTTTTTTTCTGAGGAGCATAATATCCATTGCCGAGATGGATTTTTTTCCTGGAACTTACAAGTTCATTCTCCTGATGGCTTTTGCCGTATGTCAGTCTGGCGCACAGGAAAAGAATTACACCATACTAGAAGAGCTACCTGAAAGTGTTCTGGTGGGTGATATAGTGAGAGATCTCAATCTGACGTTTCCAACAGAGAAAAAGCTCTCGACTCCCCTGCGGTTTAAGTTAGTGTACAAGAGTGGGGATCTGCCATTAGTGAGGGTAGAGGAGACAACCGGTGAGATCTATACCACCGGTGTACGCATAGACCGTGAAAAATTATGCTCTGGTGCCTTTGCCCAGACTCACTGTATTTATGAAATTGAAGTAGCTATTTTGCCAGATGAAATCTTTAAATTGGTCAAGATCCGCTTTCTGATCGAAGATGTCAACGATAATTCGCCACTCTTCCCGGCAACGGTCATCAACATTTCGATTCCTGAGAACACTGCTATCAATTCCCGATTTCCGATACCTTCAGCTATTGATCCTGATATTGGCCTTAATGGAATTCAACAGTACCATCTGCTTAAGGTGAGTTTTAAAGTATTTGTTCTGTAAAACTTCTTGCTTTGTTAGAATAGTGAATGCTCATGTCAAAATTTTGTAGGGCTTAACTTGATTGAACTAAATTGGGCTTGGTTGAGAGAACTTATCAAAAAAGTTAGCAACCACATAGGGTTTTATGAAACTTAATTTTGCATGCACACACACACATACACACACACATATTTATTCCTGTGTAAATTGGTATTTGTGTTCAAGTTAGTCAATTAATGAAGGTTAAACACAGTGCCTAGTAGTACCACCCAAAGGGCAAAGGTCAACACGATTTTAAGCCTTTTGTTTGGTTGTGGTTTCTCTGCATATGTATGCGTAGCGCATATATATATATATTGATATATATATATATATATATATATATATAATATAATATATATATATATATATATCCTTTGGTGGAATTGAATTAAACACATAAAATCACTCTTTCAAGAATATATTTAAAGGCCTTTATGAAAAGTTTACATGCAGTTAGTTTGTCATTTGAAAATCCTATAGCTGAATTTTAAAAGAGATCATTATGACAATTGTATTCTCAGAGGAAGTTTATCAAACACTCAAATCTACCAGAAATTTCAAGTATGGGACCATAAATTTAGGGCTGGAAGGAAGCTCAGGGGATATCCAGTGCAGCCCATTCATTTCACATTTGAGAGAACTGAGTGAGTCTCAGAGCAATGAAATAACCTGCCCAAGGCTATGCACATAGAAAGAGTCAGAGGGGTCATTTGAACCTGGGTCTTCTCATTCCAAATTTAGAGCTCTTTCTACTGCCTTGAAGAAATGTTATTGATAGGGAAATAATAGGGAAATAGGTTCCTTGTATTAGTGGGCTGCCACTCAAATGTTCATGAAACACATACTTATTATCTTTCCTTCCAACCCCTACCCCCACCTGAGCACTAACATCCTCCAGTCACCCAGGTCCACTACCTCAATGTCATTCAGGACACCTCACTTTCATTTAACCCACATATCCAATCAGTGGCCAAACCTCATTTCCACCATTACAACATGTCCTCTTCTCTCTGCTCCAATAGCCACAACCCTAATTAAGGCCTTCAGCACCTCTTCAAGACTGCTGCAATAGACTTCTAGCTGGTCTCCTTGTTTCAAGTCTCTATTCTTTCCAATACTTTTTCCACTCAGCAGCAAAGGTGATTTTTCTAAAGTGGGGATCTAGTCAAGTCACCCCTCTGCTCAATGACTTATTTGTAGTTTCTAGAATACTGCATTCAGCCTGTCTCCCTTCTCTTTGCCTTTGCAGTGGCTAGCCACCATTCTTAAAATGCTTTGCTCCTCCTGCCCCACTCTCCTTCCTCTCCTTTCTTTGGTTTCCTTCAAAGCTCAGCTCAACTATTACCTTCTGCAGGAGGCTAGCCTTTCCTCTTTCCCCAGCTAGTAATGTCTTCCTCTTTCAGATTTCTATGATTAGATCAATTTTAAACATCAAAAGTGAGAGTTTTCTGTTCTAAAATGTGTTTTTTTTAAATGTCATTGGGAGAATTGGAAATTTCAATAAGTTAAACTAAAATTGAGAGCTGGTCAAATGTAAACATGAGACTGGCACTTCAGCTCTCTACTTCCTGAAAAAAAAAAATTATAGTCTTTGTTGTGTCTAGAGCTCAGTGCCCTAGTGAATAAGGAATTTTGTCAGCTTTCCCCCAGGGCAACTCTTCCACAAAATCTCTAGGTTGGCTTGAAGATTAACTGATTCTGATTCATGCCAACAATTTAATGGGAATAAAATACTGGCCTAATTTTAGCTTTGTTAAAAATGTCGTGTCATTTGGCTGACTTTGAAAGAATGTCAGCAAGTGACAAAGGGACAGGTTGCCCTGCCATCTTTAAGGGAGCCTTAGAAGTAGAATTGCTCTGAAATCTGTTCTGCTTTTGGGTTGTGTGGTGTGCCTAGTGTAAAGATGCACCTGTATGGCCCTGTGGACATACACAATGAGTCCTTACTGCTCATTAAGAATAATGAGAATGTGACCCAAAGCCTGATTTTGGGCTTGCAGAGGGACATGGCATGGCAGGTGTTAATTGAGTGTACTTTTGACTTGCAAAAGGGTACTGCCATGGAAGTGATGCATTAGGGGAAGTGGGAGAGAGAAGAAATAGCTTAGGATTCATCTGTGATCTTTCCAAACTTTTACAAGTTGAAAGGAGACCTTCTATAGGCATTTCTTTTAAGGGATCACCAATCACTCCTACAAAAAACAAAAATAGAGCAAAATGAAATCAATATTACCTTGCTTTATTTTTTGTGAATAGGTAGGGATAGCACAATAATACTAATCAAGGATTAGAAGAGAATGTGGAAGCGTAAAAAGTATTTAATGGGAGGCAAAGGAGTAGAAAGAGTTGGCGTAGTAAGGAAATTCTAGGGAAAACAGTGTATCTGTTAACAAACGTAGTGCTAAAATCCTACTCTGCTGCCTAATTATGATGTGAAGGTGGCCCTGTGTCTATGGAGACTGGGCCAGTAGGACCCAAATTTTGGTAGGTCTCACCAAGTTGGAAAAGCTTTCATTGCTAGCCTGATGACAGATTGTACATGTGTCATCTGAGGACCACCGCAGGTTAGTTAGGAGAGATCCCTTATCATATTGGCTGCAGGAGGATTACTTTTTCAGCCATAGAAGCTCTTGAAGATGGTCTACCGCTTCACAGAGTGGTTAGGATCTGAGTTGGTGGAAGGAGTACCTGTACTGATGAAATGACAGATTTTTGAGTCTATGAATAAGTAAGAAATTCATTACGATTTTATTTATAAAGGAAACTTCATGTTGGTATATTAAGAAATCCAATTACAAATTACCCTGCTTGACACTGCTCTGTACAGACCTTAATATTCATCCGTGACATCTTATATCCTCCCATGATTATATAAGCACCTCGAGGGAGGGGAACTCCATTTTTGTCTTGATGGTCCCAGCATCCAGTAGATAGACAGTTAATACTTGTTCTCCTGGTTCTGCTCACTTCACTCTTCAACACTTCCGAGAAGTCTTCCCAGGTTTCTCTGAAACAGTCCCCTTTCATCATTTCTTATAACAATGGTATTTCATTGCATTCCTAGCCCATAATTTGTTCAGCCAAGTCATTTCAAGACAAGGGAAGCACTATTAACTGGGGGGAGCAGTAAGGGTGTTGTCACCTAGGAGTTAGCTTCTGAATGGATGTATTTTGAAGAAAGAGAGGGGTCATGGGCAACTGGATTCATGTGATTCTTATGTAAGAAATCTACTCAGGGAGAGAGAAGCTTTTCTGCTGTGCACATTGGAAATTGTCTTCATGCATCACAGTGAACAATTGCTCTTGTAATATGGTACTAATGTCTCTCCTCTCTCACAGCTCCCAAACTGGTATTTCTAAAGCCCAGGTCCAAATATGTCCCTCTGCCTCTTCCTAAACTCCAGTGACTCCTCATGACTTCTGGAATCAAGTACAAACACTTTGTTTGGCATTTTAACTCCCTTCACAATGAGGACTCTGGTTTAATTTCCAGCCTTATTATAGTGGAGTATTTACTGCCCTTCACATACTTTTTGAGTCCAGCTAAACCGGCCTTGTTGCTCCTCCCACAACACTCCATCTCTTGTCTCCAAGTTTCTCACACTTTCCATCTGTCTCAGAATTCCTAGTTTTCCTTCATGGCTCAATGCAAGCACCACCTCTTGCCTGATGCCTTTCCCATTCTCCTCAGCTGCTAGTGTACCCTCCCCGTCCAGTGAAATGACCTTGCATTTCTTTCATGTATACTCATGTGCATGTATTTTCTCCCCTGAAGGACAAGGATGGTTTTCATTTTTCTTGGTTTCCTCAGTGCCTAGCACAGTCACTTGGCACATAGTAGGTATCTGATGTTCGTTAATTGGTGGCTAGTTGAATCATAGGATTTTATTCCATTCTGAGATCAAAATATGTCTGAATTAACTGAATTAAACTAGAAAAACCTTTTCAGAAGATCAATAAAGAAAAGACAAGGTAGCTACTTTCTTTTCAGAGCTCTAAGTGTAGATCAGCTGTTGTAATTACTTTGGAGGATAAGAAAGCAAAGCAAATTGAAAAGACATGGTGAACTTCACCTGTTTGGCAAATCAGGTCAACCCCTACAGGGAGCAGTTCCATCAGTCAAGCAAAGGTACTTGTTGCCTCTGCTTGTTGGTTGGATTCAGTCAGCTGTGTGCTCCCCCCAAGGTTATCCTAACCTTGATGTCTTCATGCTAAGGAAAGTGGTGCTATGGTAGGAATTCCCTAGAATCATTATCGTAGTTTTATCCTTTAACTTGGTGTAACTGTGTGAGGGGTTCATAGCATTATTCTACTTCATTGTGGCATTTAAAGAACAAGACAAATTGTTCAAGTCATTGAATACTCTAGACTCTTAGAGAGATGCTGGCCTGGAGCAGGAAGTGACAGTGTCTCTTTCACTTTTAGTTTATTGATTTGATTACTTGTTACATATGAAGCTTCCTTTCATATTATATGTCTTCCTCACAGGGCAGCCGACACTTCCACAAATAGAAATGTCCCTCAAGCACCCACCCTAACTCAGGGCATATATACCACAGGGACCTCCTCTCCATGGTAGGATCTGGAGGGAAATTCATTTGTCTGATACTGTTACATATGTCTTCATTTTCTGCTTTAGCTCTCCACCACTCTTCCCATATATCAGCAGCTAAATTCACACACTAACCCAGTGGCAGAGTGTACTGATGGGTTCCCTTGAGACAGACATGACACTGTTCCCATGGCTGACAGTGCCTGCTTGAAGAGTGGCATGCTATGCACACTTTTCTCAGGAGAGTTTCCCATGATTCACCCCTCCCTTTCCCCATGTAATGCCTTAGGAACCAGAGAGTTTTCTGAGTCACCTTGGCCTGGTCCCTAATTTCTCTTTTTAATACAATAAGACATGGTGAGAGTGGGGAGAGGGGAGTGTTGTCTGTGCACAGAATGAA